TAAATCCATGGGTTTATCAGGAGGCCCAAGGAGCTTTTGTCTCCTTGCTCCTTGCCACAGAACTGCCAACTCCTGATTTTCTGCTGCCCGGCGAGGCTGAAGAGGAGGGCTCTGCAACAGCCAGCAGCGTGCGTGCCCAGCCATGCCCCGACGGTTTGACCTGAAACTGTCCTCGCTGGCCCTTTGCTCTGGGAGGCCACCCCTAAGTGGTCCTAGCCGCTGACCTGGAAGGTGATGGCATGAAGAGCACCCTGCTCTGAACCCAGCAGCTCCCCAGAGGCACAAAGCAATGCCCTGGGAAGGTGTCTCCTCTGAGGTCAGGCAGGCACCGGAGTAAATATTTGGGTTTTTTGAATGGAGAATGATGTACTTGCGTTTCCTAAGTGATTCCAACAGCCAGCAGCTCGGCCAGCATGATCAGGCCTTGCTAATGATGTGACCTGTACTCCAAATTTAGCTCTAATTTAATCACAGTAAAATTGCCTCTGGGCAGTTTATTGGAGGGAAACCGAGGTGGTACCCTGTGCTAGCCCCCATGCTAGGTCCCAGGGGGTTGTCTCATGTCACTCCTGCTCTCTCTGAGGTCAGCAGGTTTATGATAAGGCTGGATTAGATGTTTCACCTGCTGCCATTCACTTTATCCAGGATCTCTCAAGCCTGGATTCAGCATCCTCTGAGTCAGAAGAGCTTCTGGGAAGACTTTGCAGCGCTAGATGTAACTGTAGATTAACTCTCTGATGTTGAAAAGCCACATAGCTATATCCAGAGCTCCTCACACAAAGCTGCTGTCTTAAATGGAATTTGGGTGCAAATAGCAAAAAGAAATTATTTTATTAAAAAAAAAAAATCCACATTATGTGGAGAGTCCATCTCTGACAGGGAAAAATCTAGTAGAAAAAGGGCTCTGCTGATTTAGAGTGAAGTGTGTATGTTGCTTTTGAAACTGCCAGCGTAACAGGTTAAGATGAATTTAATAGGCACATTTCTTGAGTTGGGGGGAACGCTCTGTGGCATCCTTGAGACTGGTAAGACCCTGTCTTTGCCCTGGACTAATGCCGTGAACGTTGTGAGAGGAGAAAGGGGCAAGGGAGGGTTAAGAGCTACCTCTGGAGTAAATCCTACAAGCAGGCAGCCTGGAAGTGGGGTCCAACAGGGAAAAGCTGGATTTGGAGCAGAACAGCTACAGATGCTTGGCTCATGGGCAGAAGGAAGGTGTTACTGGTGTAGGACTACTGAGGAGCGCTGGCAGTAAGATGTGGGATGTTTCTGAAATGTAGCCCAGATGCACATGTCGGAGCGTGCCAAAACCTCTCGGGTGTAGAAGTTACGGGGGATGTGAAGATGCAGGGGTGTAACCTAGCCGCTGGTGATGCTCTGGGAACGTTGGTTTCCTTCACCTGGGTCGCCTTTGCTGGAACAGCAATCGGTGGGTTCGCCAGGGTCGCAGCGACGCACAGCTCAGGCAAACGTAGCAGCTGCGCAGCCCTGGCTTGCGAGGAACGGTGGAGGGTAGCGGCAGGGGGCTGTGCGGCGTGGGGCACGGTGACGGATGTCCCGTGGGCTCTGCTGAAATGTGCGTATAAATGTCTGACAGAACTGATAATTACTCTCTGACTTGCCCGTTTCAAGGGGGGATTTTGTCTCTCCTCTTTCTCCCTCACCTATCATCCTGGAAGAGAAAGGAAGCATTTTACTAATTAATATGAATTAATATTTACTTAATGTCTGGATTAAGGAGCCAAGTGTGTTCTGGGTTTGCCACTAGTGTGAAGCAGACTTTTTTTTCCCTCGCTGGACATCAGTCAGTCATTTCACACCGGCCATCAACTTGGTTGCCAAACAGCAGCAGTTTTTTGGCAACTGTGTGGGGACACTGTGGCTCAGGGAGGGAGAGCAAAGAGGCTGTGGTTTCTATTCTGAACCATTTTGGTTGTCCAGTCCCTCCTTTGATGTTAGCTGACCTTTTTAAATTTAGCCGAGGAACAAAACGGAGCACTTTTGGGAAGCAGCCCTGCATCGCCGGCTGTCCCCTTGCGAGGACACGACGAGCCAGACGAGCACTTTCCTCCCGAGACTTTCGCTGCACTTAACGCTCCCCAGCAGGAACGTCTTTCGCTGGCAGCCGAGAACTGGCGTCAGCACAGAGCCAGTCCCAGGGCTTTCTCTCTCCTCCTTGTGCTCCCAGGGCATTTGACAGGAGGTAGGGCAGTGCTTCAGCAGCTGTGAAACTGGAAAGTGACTTTTGGAAGAGGATCTGTGATCCTTAAAGCCACGCGGTTGTTTCAGATGGAGCCCACGCCTGGATAATGCTCAGTTTGGGGTGTAGTAGAAGAGGGGTGCTCCTACCATCGGGTTGGGGTGGGGAGGAGGGATGGCTACACTGAGCGAAGCTGCTCTTCCAGTTCCTGCGCGGATCATGGCTTCCCCAGTAAATGCTGGAGAGGGGGAGCACGCCAGATGGGTTGGACAGCCGCATCCGTGCCCTGCCACCCCACCTTAACGCGGGATTGTGTGCAGAGGCACTGCCCCGCTCACGCCAAGGACCAGCGCCTCTGCTGTGACGGGCTGGTTCGGGATGCAGCTCACGCTGCGGGAACAGACACCGGGAATGGGGCGGGAGCGTGGCCCCGTGCGCTGTGCACCCTGATGGTTATAGTTTGGATCTGATGCCTTGTGTAGCCAAGTTGTGTAAATGCTGCTGGACAGGCGGAGAAACTGTCTGGCCCTTCCTCGTACACCCTCACGTTCTCACTTCACGCTGACCAGTGAAAAGATGGAAAGTGACCTTCTCATTTTAGAATGGCTTTGATAGTATTAGCAAGCAGCAATGCTTCCTTTTAAGCTTGGAGAACTCTGAAAACAAGGAAGAAAAAAAAAAAAGACCAAGTGTTGCCTTTTTTATATAAAAAAGCTAGTAATTTAATAATTTTTAAATGACTCTACAAGATAACAGACTGTAATACAGGCTTGCCATAAAGGTTCTCCTTTTGAAAGCACAAACTATCAACATAACCACTAAGCTTCAAAACACCTTTTCAAAGAATATATGGTGAAAAAAATGGAGAAGGAGGTCCAAAAGAATCCCGAACAATGCTAGTACAAAACAGGTTCACGTGGGTTGCTCTTTGGCAACTGGCTATTGGTTACAAAAGCATAACTGCCCTTTCTGGATGTAACACCAGAGCCAAGCCCCGGAGCCGATTCCGGGCTGGCGGAGGTTGTGCCGGCTCCCGCCGCCTTTCCAGGAACATTCCTGCAGGCTCTGGAAGCGGCGTTATGCTGACAGCGGTCTTCACTCTGAGACGATACATTAAGGCTGCAAGATTTCATGCGCTGCTGAAATGGTTTCGTTATTGAAGACGACAAATCCTATTTCAATAAGGCACATACTCGGATACAAACTGGGAAAGCGAAGTTAGGCAGAAGTGCCTGTTTTCTAGGTGCTACCAATCTCGTGACTGCATATTTACCGGTGATCTGCTTGCTGATGTAAACGCTCAGAACATGTTGATGTGGGACTACCTTGAATTACGCAAGGACAGTACTGTTTCTGCTTTAAAAATGCCAGAACTACCTGGAATTTAGCTGAGCTGTTGCTCATTTTGAAGCACGGCTTTTATCCTGAGGACCGCAGGCAAAAGATGCTCCGTGACTTATTTTTAGGGGGTTCACAAAAGGCAACAAAGACAAATAAGCTTATATGTGTTTTGGAGCAGCCGGCGTATGTGAAATTTCTAAAGGAGTCTACCACTCTGCTAAGAATTTTTAAGGGTCTAAATTGAAAATTGCGGGGTGGGATTGTGTGTACTTACTGATGGAATGGCCCCATTAAAACAGGAGGTCATTTTTGACAACAGTGTAGTGCAGAAGGACCAGCACCTATGCAACAGAATTTCGAAAAAAGCCCAGTAGTTGAATGGAAGTCAGAATTGCAAAAGATACACTTAATTCCCAAGAATACGTCCTAGAAAAATAAGTGCTATTTCTTCATTAAATTGTGTATATGCTATAGAGATGTTTAAATATCTGTTATTTCAAATTAAGCTGCTTTCTTTCCTTACAAATTACAATTTGTACGTTAGTCCCTCTGGAAGGGACAGGTATTTAGAGACATCGCTCTTCTGCAGCCTCAAAGATGCATCCAATGGATCCTGGGATGCTCTCAGGATAACTCTGAGCCCACAAACAGTAAGGCTTTCGAGCCTAACTTAAATTTAATTGCCAATGCAAGGACATACAAGGTAAACATGCATGAATTTACATTGCTGGGAATCCATCCACATTTTGAGATCCCCTGTTGCACCGTTATTAGAAATAGCAGAATTTGAATGCTGTAAGATATTAAATCCATATGATTCTGCCTTCCTCCTTAGAAGGTTCTGTTTCTTAAATGGCCTACAAATGCTTTTCTCCAAAAGTGCTGTACGCCTTGCTTGACGTGTTGCCTGTTGCAGGGGTGCATATATGCTAGTCAGAATGATGGAATGCTACACGTAACAAAGTAACATCAAGAGGAGAGTTAAATGTCATGGAATTAACCTATAGAAAGTAATTTCTAAGGGAATGGAGTTCTATGAGAACCATTACACTTGCTTCATGGATTGCTACAAGTAGGTTTCACAACCAAGTCCATGTGCCAAAATCAAGATGGAATGAAACAAGAGTGCAGCAACCAGTTAACAAATATACTGAGGAAACAGGCAGTATATACAAAAGATACGCACTGCTTACCCAACGCATCATTTTTAAGGTGCTTAATTGATGTTTTAGGGAATGTAGCAACATATACATATATGCAGTGTATATAAATCTAAATGTGTATTAGAAACATAATACAGAACCAGATCCCTGATTTCATTAGATTCTCTAATGCATACGAATGTATTTAAAATACTTCATAAAAAATATCTAAAAAAAATAAATGGTAACATTTACATAAAAAAAGCTCCAGTTTGTTTGTTTTTCTGTTTTGCCTCTCGGGAATTGGATTCCACTGGCTTTCATGAGGGCACCATTTGGACCAGTGAGAGTCTGAACAACTGTGCGTGATGAGACAGCTCTGTTACTCGGTCCACCATCTTCTGTAGGGCGGCGATGCTGGGGTAATGCAAGGCAGCCATCTTGGTAGCCAGAACAATGCTCTTCAGCAGTTCGCACAACTGGTTGCTGGAGTTCATCACTCTGTTGCGTATGTCCTGAGTCGTCACTTGCCTCGTGAGCATGTCCCCGATGAACACAAGTTTGTGAGCACTCAAAATGACAAATTTGCTGTGAGCCACGAAGATCCGGGGGGGTTGGGAAGCGTTGACGCAACTGAAAAAGGCATCGATGGCGTTTAGGAGGGAGTTGAAGTGAGTCTCGCATTGGTCAGAATAGAATAAAAGCAGCTGGCTGTCATGGGAGGTGGCAGTGCTGTTTGCCGTCTGGAGAGCTTGAGGCGGCTTCCATTTTGAGATGTCGTTCTCTACCGGCTTTGTGATCTCTTGCTCCAGGCGTTGAAACTGATTGATCTGAAAGGCAAATAAAAAGGCTCTCTTCAAAGAATATTCTCGGAAGATGTTGTTATGTATTACGCTTTATGCCTCAAGACATCCCTGGGTATCCTAGATTGGCCTTACGCCAAATAAAAACCACTATATGTGTTTTCTAAGATCTTTTATTTTGGAGAGTGAGGGCTAATCGAGTGCTTTGGTTACCATATATCCAGATACACAGAGTTCAGAAGAGAAAAACATCTAAAATACTTTATTTGCATTTAAAGAAAAACCTCCTGAATTTACAGGCTGTTGCTCATTTGGAATATTCTGAAATCACAAGCAGGAGAGATGGATCCAAGTGGCAATGACTCCTACACAATCTTTAAAAAGCTGCCATCTCTGTGGGATTTTGAGATGACAAACCTTTAACTCTCACCTCCACATTGCTTGTACAATGTTCTGCCATACCATATGGCAACAACATATTGAAGAATAATACGAGGGCAAAGTGACGGCCCTCAATCTTGTATGACCTGGGTTTTTTTAGCATTTAAAGTGATGTTAAGCACAGCGTTTAACTTAATGGTATTGATGTTCACTGAACAGATGTGCAGGCGGCACATGTATTCAGTGCGGTCCAGTGATTCAGGCACTGGATTGCAGGTCAGGAAAGTCAAGTTCTCAAGCTGGTTTTGTGACTGACCCACTGTGAGACACTGCAGAAGTCTGTTTCTCCTCTGTGGTAAACTTTTGGAGACGGAGACTGTTTTTTATTATATGTATGAACTGGGCCCACCACAATGGTGCATTGTATAAAAAAATAGTTTCTTAAATTGAGATGGTTGGAAATTGTTTTCAAGGGAAAGGCTTATTCCTGCCACAAGAGATGTCATTCCAAACACTGAGAGCTGTGGCTGTCCTTCCACTCAGCTACTAAGTGGCAACAAGGAAATGAACAGGGCAGAGATGCTGATTGTCAGAATAACTACTCTGCAGTAAATAACTTCAGCTGTCTTTGGCACAAGCAATCGCTGACGCAGATGCACAGGGCCAGGAAGGTGCTACAACCTTGATGCTCACCATTTCCCGTTTGGAGCAGGACAGAGCCTGTCCTTGTCCTTCGCATTGATAGATCTGTTAATGGTGGAGCCTGACTGGCACACATCCCACCTGGAAAGAAACTAACCTGGAGCCACTGTTTAGCCAAGACCTAATACCTGCCGTCATCACCACCTAGCATCTAGGACTCTCCAACTGTGTGCGCTGCTGTTCCTGCACACCTCACAGCCACGATGCTAGCAGTTGCGCGCTGCTAAGGGAAGGGCCCCTCCTGCTTTATTTGACCAGTACTCCTTATGTGCAAGGAATGCTGTGGTTCAGTGTGATTATTGCACCTGAGTGAACATACCTGATGGTGCTCTAGCTCCATTTTGCTCTGCTTGATGATATTTTCTTTTTCCAGCAGCTCCTTCTGTTGCCTTTCAAACTCTTCTTTCCCCTGTTTTGCAGAACGTAGGACACTGTGTTAAATCAAAACTGCTCCTGAGCTAAATGACAGCTCATAGGTCAAATATTCTTTATATTGGCTTTTTAACTGGTAGCGCACCACTAAGAGTACAGAGAAGAAAAAGGACAGTGTGGCAGAGCAAAAGGCTATTGCTATTATGTATGCAACCATCCTATTTGAGAACAAGCAATAATGTGTATTAGCGTGACAATCTGACTGCTACCTCCCTGCAAACAGCTTTTGCAAACAGAAGCATCGAAAACAACTACTTGGCCTTGTGCAGACAAAGGTGTTGGATTTACCTACCTGCAGGTGAACATAATCGTAGTCATCCATCCAGCTCTTTTCTGAGCTCTCGCTGGTGGTGGTGTGAGGGTGTTGACCTTTACTCAGGAGTGGAGGAAGGGGATTGCAGTGGTTCTGTGCTTTTTCTCCGTGACGCTGCATATGAGGATTGTCATATACATAGTCAGCAGCGTTCATGATATTCTCTGGTATGTTGTTTTTGAAACGTGAGCTGCTCAATACCTGCTGGAAGAGCACCTCTGCGTTGACACTGATGGTAGTGGTCAGTTGCTTGGCATCGTCCGGGACTGTCCTTGCCACCATAACAAACCGATCCAGGTCATCACACTTGTTCTGCAGTCTGTTGACAGCTAGAACATTCAAAGACCAGTTGTAGCTGTTCAAGTCGTGACTGGTTTGGGTAAGGATCTGGTGAGAGTCCTCCAGCCTTTGCACCTCCCTCCTCATTTTGTTAAGGAGGCTGAACTCGGACAGGCAGGAAGCATTGGCTGCTGATCCTTTTGCAAAGTGGAGGTACTCCAGCAGCGACTGCTCCACCTTATCCACAGCAGTGTGAATTTCATTGATGTGTTTCTCCATATATCCATAAGACCGCCAGTCTGCTGTAATGAAGGCCATGAGGTTATTGACAGCTGTCTCCACCATCTGCTGGAGGCGATAAAGCCTCTCTATAGCAGTGTCTGGATCAAGGATTAGTCTTTTGTCCTGTGCCGTTGATGCTGAGAAAGAAGAGTCTTTTGACGTTGTTGAAGATGTGGACATGTTACTCCTTGTGCTTCCTGTGCTGGAGAAAGACAACCTATTTATCCCATCAGTCACATCCTGTAAGCCTTTAGTGTCTTGGAGGACTGGTGGTGGTACATCATATACTCCTTCTCTTCCTTCTGGGATGAGACTTTCACTGAATCCTGTCTGTTGTCCTGGGAATGCAATTCCCCTTGGGGTATCATAAACATCTTTTTGGGGTGCAATTTGCTGTCCAAGGAAATGGTTTTGATGGTTAATAGGGATGTCATAAACATTCTGTTTCTGTGGCACTCCATCCAGCAATAAAAGGCTCTCAGGAGAAAATTTATTAAGTTCTTTCCCAGTTGCTTTGGTGATGGGAGGAGGAATATCATATACTCCTTCTGGTCTTATGCTGTGACCCACTGGAGACGAAAAATCTTGCAAATTTTCCCTCAGGCCTGTATCATCTCCGCATGCAGATGGAGGTGTAGCATAGACCTGAATCAAAGAAAGCAAACCATGAAACCTTTGGCTAGAATAGCAAAATCTTTTACATTTTCCATATGGCCTATAAAATGCTGGGATGGAAGATCTGCCATTGACAGCCACTTATCTTGAGTTTGAGCATCAGTTTTAGTATCTTACTTTTTAACTTTCATCTTGATGCAAACTCTCATAAGCAGCGAAATCCAAAAAGGCAGCATGCTGCCACAAAGATAACGTAGGTCTAATTATCAATTCACATTCTATAACGTTAATAATTTTGATGCAGTCCTTCACTTTACCAGTTTTAACAGTTTAAAAACCTAAGGAAATCTTTAAAGTATTGAATGTCCTTTTCCTTCAGGATCATACATGAACTCTTGTTTAAACATGTCTTTGGTCTGATATGAAAATACAGGATCTTGCGGAAACAGCGTAAAACTTACCCCTTTGGCGGGTGGTATGTCATAGACTCCTAAAGCTTTTGCTTCTCCCATGGGAACTGGAAGTACAGGCCCCTTAACCGATGTGGGGGGAATGTCATATATCTAAAGAAAGAATAAATTGGTTACAGAAACAAGTCACCTCAGGAAAGCTCTGATCTCAGATTAGTTTTCCTGATTTCCGTGTTTCCTCTCTAACAGCCTGAAGATGATCAGAGCTCTTCAACTTTGTTTCATATGAGAGAGCTGCTTGGATTTGCCTGGTACTGTGGACAGTTAGGAGGAAATGCGCTTTGCTAGGTCCCCTCTGGGCAATTGTGTGGACAGCAGGCTGGAGAGACGAAGTCATGTCTGACTTCCATCCCAAGAGTTAAGTCAAGGCCAGTCTGCTACAGATACCTGTTGGGGTGAACAGGGGAGCAGTATATTCATGTGACCAGAACTGATCACGCCCTTACTGATAGACATTAGAAGGACTGAGGAATAAGCTTGTACTAGTACACACTGGACTCTGTGAAACCAAGGCTGCCCCTGTCAACATTGCCTATCTGCTTTATCGGGTATGGTGTGAGCTGTCTTACTAGCAGACAGTACAGCTGTCAGATGTTTCAGGTATCCCACTCGGTGGCATGTCCCAGTGGGTTCTGCATGTGGTCCAAGGCCACTATCTGAATGTCTCTTAACCCAGACATCCCAACATTTGGTGTCAGACTGTGTTATGTACTATCAGGCTTCCATGTTGTTCCCCAGAGGAGCTGCTCTGTCAAAAAGCCATGGAGAGGTGCAGGGTTGTTGAGTTACAGGTCCTGCAAGCATCCACTCTAGATGTCTCTGGTCTTGGGGATTGAATGCTAAGATATATATGAACAAAGATGTATTTCAAGTTCAGCACCATAGTGCGGTAGATATGTGGTGAAAACAATTCCCTGCATAGTAGCTGTTCATCTAGGCGATAATTGTACCCTTAGTGAGTGAATTACTGTCAACTGTGCAACAACAAAGTAAGGGGAAAAAACGTTCCCACGCAGCAAGTTTATTCTGTTTAGATATACTCTTTGATCAAAACACAGAAAACAAATGGGACTTTTGTATTTGGTGTGCTGCCAAATCTTAGTCAACATCAAATACAACTTTGAAATACTTCTGCACTCTGTGAATAAGCCGCAGCTTATAATTAAAACATATTTTCTCTCTGAAATGAGAGAACGAACTTGCTTTGCTCGTAAACCTCTGCTAGAAATTCATCACCCCTTGTACCCTGTCAGTGCTGTTGGCAGTTTTATTGGTACCTACCCCTTGGAGAGGGCGAACGGGGGGGATATCGTAGATGTCCTTCTGGTATTTGGAAGGGAATTCATAAACATAACCTTGTCCTGACCTGACGGGAGTTATTACCTGTGGGATAAAATAAAAAGAGGAAACATAAGTCTTTGAGGATCTTGGCATGTTCTCTCTGTGACTGCACAGGGTATAAACGATTAACATTCACGCTTTATGTGGCAATGTTAGTAACACAAGTCTACATATACTTCTGACAACTGAACATTGCAAAGTCACTATTAGTAGCTACAATGCACCATCCTTCTCTTCTAAACCAGTTCTGACACAGCTGCTTGCTAGTGCTACTGTGTCTTCTACATGTCAAGCACAGATTCTGCAGCAGGTCTAAAAGAGCTTGGTCCCTTCTTCCCGTTGACTGTCCATTAGCACAGACCACACGATGCGATGGTTACACGACCCACTCACTGAGATCAGGGCTATGTCCACTCTGCCCCTCCCAATGAGGTGCTGAGCGTCCCCACTTCCCGACAGAGGCTTAAAATACTACGTTCAGGCTCTGGGAGTCTTCCGCCTTTGCTTGTGGAGGTATTTCCCACCTACTCTGGCAGGATGTCTTGTGTTACTGTACTCCACAGCACAACATCCAGGATGACTGAGTGTGAGCCCTGGCTTTGGAAATTCTTTACATAGAAAAGCTACGCTTAAACTTTCCAAAGCAGGACATTAAATTATGCTGTCTCCATTTGGTTTGTCTATATTAGTGGCTAAGAGATAGAAAATGTTAAGCCATTCTTCAAGTATATAATGCAAGAACAGCCTCTGGAAAAAAAAAAAAAAAGCTTAGGATTTACTTTTTTTGACATTTTCTAAACCATTAACTACCATAATGACTTCAAATAAAAATCGGCGAAAAACAAATGCCTTGCGTCTTGGACAGCATCTGCATGGCAGAACTTCAGTATAGTGTGGTATAAAAGAAATGTTACCTAACCCTCAGAAAGAGCTGGGTTTATAGTGGAAATGCTGACATCTTAACCTCTGCTGGTGCTATTTAGCTCTAACAAAAGAAAATATAAATACTGTAACCCAAAGGCATAAAATGACAAATTACATAGGCCCATACAAGATGCAGCTCTGTGCTCAGCTGGGGAGAGTTCTGTACCAGAGCTACCTAACTGTCTTTAGAAACGTAGGCAAGATGTACAACAGAGTTTCTGTCCAAGCGCTCAGTAAAGATCCCGTAACAGTTTTTGCTGTGAGGAATCCTAGCATCCTGGCCAGATTTCACAGTGAGTTTTACTTGACTGAGGTCTGCAGGGGAAGTCCCTGATGCTAACCTGCTACCTCCTCTCTGCTACGTTAACCACACAGGCTTTTCGTTTTACTTGCTGCCCAAGTATTGCTGAGTAATCTCTGGCCTGTGTACCATCAAACAGTCACTGGATTTTCCCCCTGAGGTGACTGCCATACCAGTCCACAGGTCTGGTTCAGTGTGAGAAGCCCAAGGCAGTGCGCCTGGGAGCGCCAGCCGCTACACTGGCTGCGTGTGCCTTAGGTGGGGAAGGAACCTCCACGCCTGGCAGGGAGGGGAAGACAGCAGTTTTTGCAGCTGCTTTTCCTTGAATAAGCATCAGTGGACAGGAACTGGAAGCGATACGGTCTCCAGAGTGCTGGGTCAGTTCGCTGCCCACGAGTAAACTCCTGTTGAATTGGATGTGGGGTTAATAGGGCTTACATACATAAGAGTTTTTTAAAAAAGAATCTAAAAATGTATTGAATTTATGACAGACCGTTCCTCTCCCCCAGAGTCATGTACTGCATTGTAAATGGTATCTACAGACAAAACTTTTAAGAAAGTTTTCCTTTAAGTTACTGGAAGCCTCCCATAATGGATCACTCCAGATATTATCCCTCCCAGGCCACTCTCATGTAATACTGGGATTATTTTGTTTGCCTGAGAAACTTCTAACTTGTATCAACATCGCTTCCTCGTGCTTTTTCTGCCAGTGAGGGCTAGTCATAAGACTAGTACAGTTTGCTGTGTGGCTTTTGCATCTTTTTTTTTTTTTTCCAGTTGAGTGCTGCCAGTCAAATGCTTTCCACCCAAGTCAGGAACAGAAAGATTTGCTTTTAAGCAATGTTTACTCAGAGGTTCCTTCCAGAGGCTTCAAAATTGCAACCACGGCGTTACTTCAGTAATGAGTCACTGAGTGTTTAAAAATGATCCTCTGGGAGAACAGACAATACATAGTAAAAACAAAGGACTGTTTCCTGGGTCACCCGTTTCCACAAACCCTTCTGCTACTGTGAACACTGTGGCATCCTTGGTTGCTTGCTAACATGCTGGGAAACTGCTCAACCATCCTAAACCAAAAACACCCCAGACTGTTCATGGCGGGCAGCTGCAAGGCCCACGCCAGCCCTGGAAGTGGGGAGGACCAGTGCACTGCTGCACTTCAGCTCTGCTTTACCTGCTGGCTGTTGCCTAGCAGGACGAGGCTGGGAGTCAGGCTGCGTCAGGCTCCAAAATGGCAGATATTGGTCCCTCAGTCTGAAATTTTTATAACCCCTTGCTCAGCTGTGGTCTACTCCAGAAGCTGAACTCTATCCTCAGTCCAGGTCAGGAGTCAAATTTGACCAGATCTTCTCCAGACCTCAGATGTGTGATGCTCCTTACAGTCCTGCCCATGGAGGAGATGTACAGCACCTCTGTAGAAGCTTTATGGCACCTCAGTTCTTCAAGGTTTGCACATTTCTGAGAAGCCCCTTTACGCAGGCTCACGTAACCGTCTTACCCATCTCATGCCTAAAGTCACTCAGGATACATTGACACCGCTACTCTCTCCTTGCTCAGAGAATTAATTTCCATGAGCAAACTCGAAGAAAAGTCACAGGCCTCTAATACAAAAAAAGGAGCTGATGCAAGCAGCACAGGTAATAAGGCATGCACAAGTAAAACCACTCGCTCTTGTTGTCACAGGTAAACATGATATTTTGCTTTTGAAAAACAGAAGCCCCGGTGGCAAAGCAGATGATACCCTTACACCACGGAGCCTGGAATGTACGCGGAAGAGAAGCTGCGCTGATGCCTAGTATTCACAGGGAGATCCTCCCTCGCTCTGCACGCAGGAGGATCATGCAGCTGCAGTCATCCTTGTAGCTCATCCTTAGAGACCCTTCCCGTTTTTCAGAAAAGGCTGACATACCAGATGCTATACAAAAATCTTACACTACTACAAAGCTGCTGTTTTTCCTTACTCTGCTGTGATACAATCTTAAATAACTACTAGACCGGTCAGATGAAGGAAGCTGGTTTCACTCAGGGCTGCAAGACTTCTTTTATCACGTACTTTGACACTTTCACTCTTTCCCAGGCTTGCCTAACCCAACATAGTGGTCAAGCAGGGTCACTCCTTTTTTTGGGGGTGAAACAAACACCTCCTCTGGGTGCCTCCTGCTGTTGTCAAAAGAAGTGAGAGGTTAAACCACCAAATGCCTGCTTCTGGGTATTGATGAGGACAGCCTGCCTACACGGGTGACTGTGGGCAGAAGACCTGAGCTACCTGCAGGCCTGTGCTCAGCAGTGCACTCTAATTAAGGTGGCATTTATTTTCCAAATAAAAACGCATCAGAGGCTTTTCTGTCTGCTCCTTTTTAGGCTTCTGAAACAGCTATATGAAAGACAGAAAATATGACTTTAAGAAATCCAGCAACACCCAGCAACAGCCAAGGTTTGTTGATAACATGAAAGACAACTCTTTTTTCTCCCAGTGACTCAGGTATATTTTCCTGTGTGGAGGATTATTATCCAGTAACAACATGCTTTGAGCGATTTCATCATAAAATCCTCCTCAAGAACTGATCTGGTCTGCACCGAGTACAAGAACGTTTCCTGTTGTACCTCCACTCCTCTTCCCTTCCAATGCTTTTCATTAGGTTTAATGTGCCTCTGGACTGCTCGTTCCTAGTCAATTCAGAACAGAAGCAGCTCCTCACCAAAACACATCTTGAGTGAACACCTGGTAACAGTAATTAAGAGAATACCCACGCTACTTGACAAAGTGAAAATGTGGAGCATTTGTTCTGACTCTCGTGTCTTCAAGACATGACCTCAGGTGGGGAGCCAGGACATGTGGTCGCACCGCTTCTTCTATATGAGGGAGAGGGAGGTAGCTGGGTAGGTGAAGTAAGAAACCCCCCAAACCCACTATTTTTAGAAGTAACTTTTCATTTCAGGTATTCACCCATAAATTTATTAATTGAATTTGCTGCTTCTGAGTAGAATGCTCAGCCCTTTCAACACATTGTTGAACCATTTTTTGTGGGGTTGAATGTCTGATGGCAGTTTAGTTTTGAAGATGGACTTCAGAAGGAAGGAGGTGGCTGCAAAAGAAAAGTTCCAGAGCAGCCCCCTCTGGTACTTAGGAATTTATTTCACTGAACTTCTGCCCTCATGAGGATTCTTTTTCCTTTTACCTCTTCTTTTTTAAGAATGCCTGTGGTCATCTGAGTTTAAATAATCCTGCATTTCAAACCACCAATTTTCTTTGTTTACACGTTAAAGGAAACAGATGGTGCTCCCACAAACTATGTAGCCCAGCATTCTCAAAACATTGTTAACCACTTAATCCATGCAGAACAACTAACGGGGACCAGGTTTGGCTCTGGTGAAATATGTAATGAGCCTACTTCAAACTTTCAGCACTGCAAAACAAAGACAATTGAGCAGAAAGTTTGTTCTGTTCTTGCTGAAGACCATGCTCTTCCAAAAGCAATTACTTGGGTCTTTTCTATGCCACTGGCATGTTCCTAACCAGGAAAAAGAGCTGAATGTGCATGTACTTTGCAAAATATTCAGCCCTGTGGTTCATTAAATCCCTCTTCCTTAAATATAAGGGGAAAAAAATCCATTCTGTTTCCTCTAGGATTAAAATGGATGTTAGGCTGCAACAGAGAACATTCCTAACTAAGGCAGCAACAAGACAGTTTTTGTGCTTATGGCAGAAGCGCAACACTGTATTTTACATTGTTTAACAAGGACAAAGGGTGAATCAACCTACTGAAGCCAAGAGAATTACTTTAAATTCATAGTAGTAGTGTGGAGGGCAGAATTC